CGTGTCACAGCAGGGAAAATGGCCGTGGATCCTGTTCGTCACCTGATGCGGAGTTCGCGAATGGAAGCAAAATTTTGCGAACAGTGTTGTTCGTGACCCGAATTGTTCGTGAATAGAAGTGTTCGTGACCCGAGGTACCACTGTATTTTCATCTTCTGAGTTTAGCCACAGAGCTGTTTTCTGCTGACCTCTTAGTGCACCTAACTCAGATTTCTTTGCTATGATTGATAGCAATTCGCCAAGCTATCAGATATGATTTGTCCCAACCTTGCCACTTGAGATCTTTTAAATGGAAACAGTGAAGGCTGAACCTGCTGTTTTATATACTCAAAGAATGGGACCTACGTTAATGTTGGGATCTACCTTATCTGGAAAGTAAACATCCCTTCCAGGATCAATTACTTCTCTCAGGTAGTACATGGTGCTACATTTACAAACATTTGTGCAACATGAATATATGAATTCTCTGACATAAGTATGTGCTGGATTTGGAAAATTTGGTCTTGCATCCAAATATTTTTATGAAGAGCTTTGCATAGTCCATATTTCTTCCATCAGATGCACTTTAATAATGCATTTCTTTATTCTCATCACATTCTAGAGTCCTGCAGATATGAAAGAATTTATTTTTGCCTTTGTATTTTGCTACATTCTAATGCTATAAATTAAAAGAAGGTGGTTTTATAAGATTGAAAAAGTCCTGTGTATTTAATATTTTTAATCATCAGATCCATATGTTATTTCTTTCAGTTCATGTAATAACTTTTTGGAGATTATCTTGGCTGCTATCACTATGTGATAGCTACGTTAAAGGAAGATTTTGAAATTATGCATATTTGAATATTAGTAATAAAATGTATTTCGAGTATGAAAGCCATGTAATTTCCTATAAAGAATATATATCTGCTATGATTCACAAATTGGCAGATTAAACAGGAACTGCCTTCCTATGTTCATTATGGAGATTACAAATTGTATGTACCCATTTTATCCACCCAAATCAACAATAGTTATGGTATTAATATTCTCAAGTAGCTAAATATTTCATATAAAAAAATTACCCAGAAAAATGTAGAACTGTAACCTGAAGGAAGTTGTGTACTTACATAATTGGCAGCCAAATCTGGATGAAGATAATCAATTCCTGAAAAATCAATGGCAGCAATCAGTCATAAACATATTGAAGAAAAAATAGTAGAACACATGATGTTTTGATTAGCTGTGAAATCCATTTTCTTTGTTAATAAGTGTATCCCAAGGTAAAACATGGGCCTTAAGACTTCTTATGTAGGCTGGTAGGTTTTACAGGCCAGAAATGGGTGAGAATCTGAGATATAGACATTAGGCTGACAGATTTACTGATCAGATAGTTTAGGCTTACAACTGACCCTAATTTGTCAAATTAGATTCTTACAAAGCCAACAACTTCAACAGAATTAAGGACATCGGTGATCTTAAACTGGAAATTGTCATTCAGCAAAATTCATAACAAGCCACAAGGATGTCAAAATGGTAACCCATGTGCCATGACATTATCACACAAATGGTATATTATGCAATGCAGTCATGACTTCTAACTAAAGTACTTGAGTCATTTTTATTTGCATGCTTACCTCATGATGATGTTTGCCCCCTTCCCCTCCCTGGATGCCCATGATAGATGACAGCTATAAGATTCTTATAGTACCCTTCTTGCCATTTTTCATTGCAACAGTTCTATATAAAACCAATCATTGTTTCTTCTTTTCCCTTAGGAGCTTCTTTTCTATATATCTTGATTTGGCCTACAGTCATGAAGGCATTAGCCTTCTGTTTCTGAAATGGATACTATACTTGCCACAAATTTTTCCACTTCTTAAATCACTGTGAAGGGGACTGAGGAGAAGAACTGCTACCTTTTGCCATCATGGACAGTACATTAATGCTTCTTTTATTATTCAAATTGCTTCAAACTAGAGAGCATCCAGACTGATTGGAACTTCATCTCAGATTGTCAGATATTCCTAATGCCAATCCAAATATATGTGGTCAGTATGATCTTTCAGAAAATTTTGTAGTAAGGGAAAGGAAAACTGCATTACAGCCATTTTCAAATAAAGTTGCATTTCCTAGCTTTTTTTGGAAATCTGGTGCCCACTACAGTAGATGTTTTAGATTGCCATTCCCATAAATTTCCTTGACATTGGTTATAGTGCCTGGGGTTTATGAGAGTTGTAAACCAAAGTATCTGGTGTACATGAATTGTCTGTTCCTTCTGGAGGAATGATCATGAATGATCATTCCCATGTTCCCACATTAAAGAAAAAAACATTACCCTTTTTTGTTTGCTGTTTGGATGAAGAACTTAACATTTAGATGTATCAACTTTCAGCCGTAAAATATAAACTACCTTCCATTAAAAACAAATATATTCCACTAAATGCATTTTCCTTGTGTGATTAGCAAACTAAACGTGCAGTCAATTTCAAGTCACCAATGGGTAAGAGCAAACATGCAGTGGCCATAAACGTCAAATGACATTGTTATTGTTATTATTTCCTCCTCCTCCTCCTCCTTCTCCTTTTCCTTTCTCTTCCTCCTCCTCCTCTTATTCTTTTTAAGTGAACTCCCTGCTCTACTCACTAGAAAAAAAAAAACCCTGAATTTTCCATTATAATATACATCTTATAAAAAAAAAAAGAAGTAAAAGTTTTACTGTTCATGTAGATGCATTGGGAGGACCTGATTGGCTAAATTTGCAAATCCATTTAGATCTTGACCATCATAAGTTGCCAGCCATCTAGGCTTATGAGTACATAGAATGATTTCCATGTATTCAGAACATGGGGCACTACTGTCTGTGCAGTTTCAGCTCCCTGTCTCTCCTCCAGCCCCAATCTAATACAATACACTTGCCAGGTATGTATGAAGTACAGGTAAGGGAAATGGAAACTGTGATGAGGGAAAGAACCAAGGAAAGGTAGTGGATCTGTTCAAAGCAATCTTTGGTCTGAATTCACCAAAGGATGCTTATAAATCAGGAAAGAATCTACTATAAAGGGACATCAAAAAAGTCGAGATGGCAGCTGCAACAAGGTAATGGAAGTTTCATCCACTTTTAGGCACATAAAAAATGGAAGGAGCTTTGATTGTGCTGTTGCTCTCTGCAGACTGTCTGTACCCTGCTAGTCCCTGTAGGAATCAATCACATTATTTTGGTATCTGAGGTAGGAAATCCCACAAGACACCCATCTTGGGATTATTATAGAACTGTGCAAAGCATTCTGGATTTGAAATTCTCTATTTTGAGTTTGAAATTCTCCATGTTTAGTACAGCGTGGTTGTTTTGAGGATGAAAAGAGCTGTTTTGATCACTGGAAGTGTCCAAGTTCAAAAGAGGAAGGTTTGAGCTTGAAAGAGAGGTGTTTTGACCTTAAACCACTTCCAGATTGAAGAAAATTCGTAATAGAGTGCTTTGGACTAAAAAAAAAAGTGTTTTGAATTCACTTCCATTTCAAAATGGTCCGCGCACCTCTAGATTATTATTATACAACATTATTAGTGTTGCCTAATAATGCAGTGGTAACGATCAATTATGTGTTGCCCTTTCCTTGGATCCCAAATCATCTGCAGACTGAAGCATCTTATTCATTAAGCCATCCCTGGAAATAGGTATGTGCTCATTTGCACATTGTATCCCAGCTGAGAACCAGAATTTTGAAAGCCTAGAATTCTAGCACGATGAGTACAGCATGCATACAAAACCCTCTGTCAATTTATTATTTGTAACAACTATGCCAATTAATACATTATTCCAGAACCTTTATTCTTTCGGAACAGTTAGGCAGAGTGGCATATTTTCCAGCTGTAACCACATTAGCTACAGCTGCAGTATGGAAAACCGTAATCATACATTAATATGGTCTTCTGTAGCAGGCTAGAAATGGGAAAGGACATAAAAGAAATGTTTCTGAATGACAGTGATGGCTGGAATAAAAAGTCAATTCCACCTCCATGCACAAATATAATACATGTTCCCTGTAGCTAGCACAGCAACATTCTGCAGACTCCCATTTCAAACAGCAATTTCATTTCTCTATTTACGAAT